GGGGGGGGGGGGGGGGGGGGGGGGGGGGGGGGGGGTCCGCGTCTGCTATCTGTGTGCTCGGAGAGTGGTCAGGCTGGATTCACGGCTAGGAGACCGTCTTTCGGGGACAGACTCACCGACAGACGTCCCTTAATACTGAATATTTGCCTTTTAATAATGTTGCAACCGTTTGCATCAATAGCGGCAAGTGAATACTAGTTGTGTTAGCTCGTCATGAGGTGGAATGAATCTCTGCCAGTCTCGTAGAGTAAGCTCCGCTCGAGCAAGGTCTCGATGGCGGTTTGGAGCGCCGCCTCGAAGGCCGTGAACGCGTAGTGATCGTGCGCGCCCAGCTCTCGTTTTAGCCTGTCGAGCGTAATCGAACCGTCGCCCTGCCCCGTGGCGCGCGAGGCGTGCCGGATGATGGCGGGCAGCAGCTGCGCCTCTGGGTCGAAGCGCGCGTACACGTCGGCGTCCGCGTCGACTAGCTCGATGACCCCGTCCGCCTTGAGCGCGCACAGGGCGCGCGTGACGAGGCGCTTCGCGGCGGCATGCACCTTTGCCTCGTCCGCCTCGCTCTAGCCCCCGCCGACTGCGCGTGCGACCGCCGCGTGTGCGCAGCGCAGCACCGCCTGAAATGGCGCGCCGGTCGGGTCGAGGAGCGTCGCGAACGACAGGGCCGCAGCCGGGCGGGGCGGGAGCGGCTGCGCGCCGTCTACCGCGCCCACTATCTCCGTCTCTCCGGCTGGCGGCACCTCCATCGGGCCATCGCCGCCGGCCGGGTCGCGCGCCGGCGGCCGGAAGAGTTTCTCCAGCGCCTCACACACCGGCAGCAAATCGGCGCTCGCGCCCGGCGCGGCCGTCTGGGGCGCGAGGCGCGGGGCGCGCTCGTCCGCGGCGAGGCCGGGCGCGCCACTCTGCTTGCGGTTTGCGTTGCTATTGAGGCGGCGACTGCGGGCCTGGGGTCGCGTAAGTAGACCTCCCGCCACAGCTGCTCGAGCTCGAGCCAGCGGAGGGGCTCGGCGAGAGGGTCGCGCTCGACGGAGATGTGCCACGCGGTGAGCTGCCGCTGGATTCGGAATGTCGACATGCGGCCGCGCGCGCGGAGGAGGCTGCTCAGCGGGATGTCCTTGACGTCATCGCGCGCGGAAGAGCTGTCCCGCCAGACATGCAGTTGAGTACCGCCGAGCCGTCGTCGAGGGCGATGAGTAGGCGGTGGCCGCCTTTCGGGTTGGACTTTGTCTCGAAGCCGACAACACGCCCAGCACGTCGAAGCGCCGGATGACGTGGTGCCCGAGCCGGTAGCACTCTGCGGTCGCGCGCACAGCAGCGAGCACGCCCCGAGTCAGCACGCTCCATAACGCACGAGGCGGGCGGGTGGCAGGCGGGTGGCAGGGGGGGGGGTAGGTGGGAGGGCGCGCACGCGCGTGCGCGCGCGCACCTTCGAGGCCATCCACCGGCCTCAGCGCGAGCAGGTGCGAGATGCCAAGCATCGTGTGCGCGGACCACAGCTCCTGCAGCGCAAACTCCTCGCGACTGAGCTCGCGCAAGCTCGCCATTCTACTGCCCGCTGCCTGCTGCCCACTGCCCGCTGCCCACTGCTGTCCGCGGCCTGCTGCCCGCTGTCAGCTGCCCTCTGCCCACCTGCTCGCGCTGCTTGCCCGTGTCACTGCGGATACCGAAGACCCACCGACGAGGGAGCGGCCATCGTTAACTTCAGGCGGGCTTTTGTCACCGGTCAACCGCCCGCCTGAAGCTGGCTGAGCGGCAGCTGCTGAGCTCGGAGCCTCCGAGCAGCCAAGGTCTAAGCTCCGAGCCCGAGCCCGAGCCCCCGAGTCCGGGCAGAGCCCGAGCTCGAGCCTGCCAAGCGCGAGCCCGAGCAGAGCCCGAGCAAGGGCATTTTGGCGCGCAAATGTCAGAGGTCGACGGTGAGAGGCATCCTCATCTCCACACCCACGGCCGCGCCCGCGCCCCCCGGCCAATGCCTGTGGCAATTAAACCCCCCCCCCCCCCCCCCCCCCCCCCCCCCCCCCCCCCCCCCCCCCCCCCCC